AGGCTCAGGCTACGTGACAGCCTTTGGGATTCCTTTCATTATTGCATGTAATATTATTGGCAGCCTTGGGGGGTTGCATCCTTACTTAATTGAAATTTTTAGCCTTATGTTTATCATAACATTGATTCACATAATCTGTCAAATCTTCCAACCTTCAAAAGTTCTTACAACCAAACCTTCAAACCTGCAAACAATCAAACATTCCAACCTTCGAATCACTTATAAAATTCAAACATTCCAACCTTCAAACATTACAACATTCAAACCTTCATACAATCAATAAACCTCAAACATTCCAACCTTCAAAACTTAAAACAATTCTACGCAATGGCCTCTTCACCACAATTTGTCGTCAAAGCACATTTCAACGGTGAGACATACATTTGTCCCACCGCTGGGTTTTTGTTTAGAGACACAGACAACATCCGATTTCTCTTAAACGGGAAATCCAATTTCTCGTACTTCAAAAAAAGATTGGAGGCCAAACTTGAACGAGGCCCGGTGTCCCAGATATTTTATCAGAATCCAGTTTTCTTTGGAAACAACTAAGTAATTTTTTATAAGGCTGAAGTTCAAGATGACGAGGATCTCCAGAATATGATTTCCAGCCATGTCTATTATGGATACGACTCTATTGAGTTGTACGTTTTGCTTCGAGAGCCTCAGGTGACACAGGAGGTTGATCCTTTGGAGAATGAACAAGATGAGGTAGATGCAGTTGATGATGAAGAAGAAGATAACGAGTTAGAGTTTGATGAAATGGTGAATGATGATTCCGACGATGATGGCATCCCTAGTATTCCTACAGACAAAATCTACACACCACCTCCTCACATGACAAACTTCAACATGGGAGGAGATGAACCTTCTACTGACTTATTTTTCAATCCGTATATGCAGTCGGATGAAAATTTAAAAGAGAAGGACAAGTTTCGTAACAGAGAGGAATGCATCAGGGCCATTAAAAAATTTCATATGCTCAACTCGGTTGATTTTAAGGTGGATCGTGTCAACCCAGAAAGGTACAAGATCAAGTGTGTCCACCCTGACTGTATGTTCAAGCTGACCGCATCATACAGATTAAGGGGTGACTGCTGGGTCATAGGTTCCATGACTACCCACACTTGTGTAAGTTCCACTCAATCACAGGACCACCAAAAACTCAACTATGATCTAATCTGTCAAGAAATCCTACCCCTGGTCAGCAACGACCCATCTTTGAAGGTGAAAACAATCATCTCCCACATCACCACGGTTTTTAACTACACTCCGTCTTACTGTAAGGCGTGGTTAGCAAAGACTAAGGCGATTGAAAGGGTGTACAGAAACTGGGAGGAGTCATACCGAGAACTTCCCCGCTACCTGAATGCACTCAAGACGTATTCTCCAGGTAGTGTTTACGTTCTGGAAACATTGCCAGCGTACGCCCAAGATGGTAGTCTACTGAATGGCAATGAAATATTCAGTCGCGTGTTTTGGGCATTTCAACCATGCATCACAGGGTTTGCATCATGCAAACCAATTATACAAATTGATGGGACTTGGTTGTATGGGAAGTACAAAGGCACACTATTGATGGCAGTTGCACAAGATGGCAACCACAACATTTTCCCCATTGCCTTTGCCCTTGTCGAGGGGGAGACCGGTGGTGCTTGGAGCTTTTTCCTGAAAAATCTTCGGACACACGTGGCTCCTCAACCAGATCTCTGTTTGATCTCGGACAAACATGCCTCCATTGAAAGTGCCTACAATAATCCAGCAAATGGTTGGCATGACCCTCCTTCTACGCATGTCTATTGCGTTAGGCATATCGTCTAGAATTTCTCGAGGGAGGTCAAGGACAAAACATTGAGGAAAGCGGTTATGAATGCGGGATATACATTGACACAACCCACATTCAAATATTACCGCAACAAGATCCGTTTGTCTAATCCGGAAGCCGGTAGGTGGATCGACAATATTCCGGTGGAAAAATGGACTAGGTCATACGACAATGGCCAAAGATGGGGGCATATGACAACGAATCTTATTGAATCAATGAATGGGGTATTCAAAGGCATACGAAACCTTCCATTAACAGATTTTGCTACAATTAATAAAACGCGTACAAAAATAATTAACGATATTCCATCTACGAAATTACAACTGTTAACACAATTTCATCTGACCCATGCATCATCAACATTACATCACTGTCTGTCTTGACTTCCTCCAACCACACATTAGGTCTTCCTGTCGCATGTGAGGTTGTGGTTCGTTTTCGCTGGATCCTTCGAATTTTCCCCCCCCTCAGCAATGTCTCCATCTAGCCATCGCATCAACTCCCGCTTCAGACGCTCCATGGAGTGAATGTGCCAGAATTTCATTTTCATCGTAGGTTTCGTGGCGGAGAAGATAACGTAACCATCTCTGCTTAAAATCATAGGCAACGTCACGACGAAAATAACAGAGTACAAAATAAAAATACAGTGCGAGAAAGTGTGAGAAATTTCGGAGAAACGAACGAATTATTTATAAAACAGCATTTTGCCCTAGTTTTGCCCAAGGAGCCAAGTGAGATGGCACCTCCTCTCACTTTTAAGGAGCATGCGCCATCTCACTTGGATAAAAGCCAAGGGAGGCGCCAAGTGAGATGGCGCCTAGGGCAAAACCCTAGGTGGAGGTGCCAAGTGAGATGGCTCCTCCTTTGGGGAGTCATCTGAAACATGGTTATTTGTGTAATTTTTTCTGAAATCCGGTTATTTGTGAAATATTATTTTCATACTTGGTTATTAATAAAAAAAATTCTTACTTAAGATTGCTCATAAAACAACATGCAACCTCCAACGCAACCGTCAATCTTTTTTACTTCTAGTTCCAACTTCGACACCATCCTATTTGCATCATAATAACTTGTAGGCATGTTTTTCTTTCCAGGAGTTGCGTCCAACATCATTCTCGCAAAGAATTTCAAACATTGATCAGAAACATTTCAATTTGACTTCGCAACCAAAAGCCTCATACACATTGATAGCCTAGAGTAAGATGACCCCTCAAACAATGGTATATTTATTTCTTTCAACAATTGATAAAACTTTTGCGCTTTCTCATTCAGGAGCTCTTTTGCGTCAAAGTCTTGAAGTTCATCATAAGCCACATTCACCCCTAATGCGTCACTAACCATATCCTCGTCTAGATTAAATTGTTCCTGGCATTACATATATGATGGACTCCATGAATCATCTCTATTTATATCAGGTCCAATACGTGTTTGACTGCTAGAAGCTTCTCTATTCATCTTTGGTATTTTTTCTCCATTAGATGTCCAAACCTAATAATGTAGCCTAAAATCCACTTACTCTAAGTGACGTTTCACTTCACTAGGGTCACTAATAATATTTCTGCAACCACACTTTAAACACGGACACCTTATCCCTCCTTCACTTTGACAACATTCTTGACCAAACGCATACGAGAGAAACCTGACAACTCCTTCCTTAAAATGCGGTTTAAGCCCACGTCTTCCAGGAAACATTCTATCATACATTCAACTACGATAAAAGTGATAATATTCCATACTGCACATGTACAACATCGATCTTGTTTAATTTTATTGAATAAAATGGAGATTGATCTAACGACAAATTTTTAATTTTTTGTCGATAACATCATAAAACTAGTTATAGATTTCATAATATTCAATACAATATATCTACTCTAATTAAGCATTTATTCATACAATATATCTACCTAATTTTAATAATGTTTTTGTAAAGTATTTAATCATACTTTCTAAATATATATTTCACCAAATAATATATCTACTTATTTATTCTAATTAAATACTTTTTAAACATATTTTTAATCTTGAAAATGTACTTTTTAGAGATATCTTTTTTAAACGAGTATATAAATATATTTACCATATTATACCTTCTAAAAAATAGTTTTTTTCTCTAAATTATATATATTTACTTATTATCTTAAAAATTATTTAACCATACTTTTAGAGTTATTTTTTTATTAAAGAGTATATAAATATATTTATCATATTATATCTTTTAAAGAATACTTTCTTTCTTCATAAAAGCTATATTTACTTATTATTTTCTAAATAAATATTATGATGTTTACTAACACACATAAAAATATACTAAAACATAAATTTATTTTTATTACTAAACAAAAATTATATTATTTATAATAAGTAAATTATATTTTTATAATATTTTTAATTATGTTTTTTTTATAAAAATATTTGATATTTGATATTTTTAATAATTAAAATGATGTAATTTTTCATAGATTAAAATAATATTATAAAATAATAATTAAAATGATGTAATTTATCATTAATAAGTATTTTTATTATAAAATATAATAAATGTATATGAATAGGGTCAATAAACTAATTTCCATTAAAGTGAATATTATGATTTAGAGTTCTTAAGTACTGGAATTATGAAAACTAAATTTTACGATTTTGTTTTGAAAGTTTAAAACTTGTGGATAATCTATTATGAATTAATTTGTAGGATTTAAATATAATAATTAAAATGATAGAAGATAAAGTGAAAAAATAAAATAAAATAAAACGTGTGAAGATAAAGTGAAAAAATAAAACAAAAAAAAAACGTGTGAGTGTTTACGTTGCTTCTCCATAAGAAAAAATAACAGTTCCATCTAATGCTTAATTAGATTATTAATTGTAATAACAAATCTATAATTTTCCAATCATAGAATTATGGAGCTGAATTTCTGGTCATAAACAAACAATATTTTTGATTGTGGCCCTTAAATTTCTATCGAGTCATTTAATCAAAGTATCGTTTTATTGTATAGAATGAATATTGAATAGCACATTAGGGTGGAATTTCATACATTTAGTAGGATAAAATATAGTTGTTGTATTATCTTATGATATAAATTGTTCTAATGGATGAGATCTGAAATTGGTTTTGTGAAAAAAAGCACGTCTTTAGTTAGCTGCAACTCGGAACTGTGAAAACAAAAATGCAGGAATGGAGCGTAACTTCCTTCCTAAATCCAAACTAAGAAATTACAAATCAAACAATATACCAAACAAAACCTGCAAACATAGCCAAAATATCAGAAAAATCATGTTAGTAGTTGAAACTAAAGATGAATAAAAGATCTATGTTCCAATAAATTTGAATTTCCCTAAATAACAGAAATAAATAGTGAAATTGTAAAATATTCAAAAGTCGCTGTTAGGTATATAATAAATGAAACACATTGAGATATTGGAGAGAAAAGGAAGATAATGGAGAGAAAAAGAAGACGAATGGGAAACGAAGAAGAAGATGAATTTATATAATCAGATCTGTAAAATGATAGGGTTTAGGGTATATGATGTTGGCTTTCCAAAGATTTGCATAATAAAGAATGAAATTGAAAATAGGGACACCAAAGATATTTTTTCTCGTATTTCCTATGTATTTTTTTCGTTCATTTGTGATGATGTTAAGGAAGTTCAACATTGGAATAAGAAATTGATATTGCCAGCACTAATGTCAACATTAATTAGTATGAATGCATTAATTAGGAATAGAAAATGATAATTAGGGTTATGAAAGAAGTTTTCTAAACTGGTTTTATTAGAAGTAGACGATGATTTTGATAGTACCTAACTTTTATATATTAAAAGTAGATAGTAAGAAATCTTCATAATTTACTCTCTTTCTCGATGAAGAAACGGAATTGAGGTCAGCCGTCAAAAACCTCAGTGCTACCGACGTCGACAATTCATCGTCTCCAGAGATACAATCGGAGTTGCTGAGTGCGACGAAACCTGAAAACATTGGTGATAATAGTAATTGTGATGAAGGTAAGGTTGCAGATAAACCAGAGGAAACCCTAAAAGCCGATTTGGGAGTTAACCTCGAGGATAGTTCTATGACACGTAAGATATGGGTAGATATTCTCAGCGAAAACCAGAATCCCGCTAAGGGGAATGTCTTGAAATTTGTTGCTCCTAGAGTGATCAATGGCAAGGTGGAAATTGATGTTGATGAAGCAGATGCAGATTTGGAGATTAAGTTTGGAGCAATTCGTTAATCATGTACGTGCTTGGGAAAGAATTAAGCATGAACGATGTCAAGAATTTCATGATGAAGACATGGAACTATGTTCAACTTCTAGATCTATATTATCACAATGAAGGTTATTTCATCCTTAGATTCAAATCCAGTGATGAGATAAATGTTGTGTTGATGAAGGGTCCCTATACATTCAGAGGAATGCCAATGATGTTGAAGGAATGAAGGCCACGCTTCAACCTAAAAAGAGATATGCAAAGAATTATCCCCATTTGGATCAAGCTACCCATGCTACCTCTCCATTTATAGGGTGAACCGAATTTGAACAGGATAGGAAGTGCTTTTGGAACCCTGTTGGTGACTGATGAATGCACTGCTAGCAAACTTAGGGTCTCGTATGCAAGGATCCTTGTTGAGGTTGATATTACTTAAAATCTTCTAGAGGAAATCAGTATTAAGGATAGGGATGGAAACACCATGATTCAGAAGGCTGAATACGAATAAAGACCAACGTATTATGAAAAATGCCAAGTTTTAGGTCATAATTGTGAAGGCAAGATCAAAAAGAAGCAATGGATTCCAAAAGGTAAAATTGCTACTCCTAATGTAATCCAAGATGATACTATTGAAAAGAATACTGAGATGATCACCACTCCTAATGTGAGCCAGCATAATAGTGAAGAGGAGAATGAAGAGGAATTCTGGTCAAAGCCCAATAAAGCTAGCAGAGATAGAGGGAAGGCCATCATCCAAACCAGTAATTCTTCAGGTGTCCATGGTAACAATGGCTTTGAGGTTCTAGGTGGTTGGAATGAGCCATTAGTAGCCTTTGATATGGGGACATGATAGTTTCTTGGATCATAAGGGGACTAAATAAGGTTGGCGAGATTAAGGAGATTAGTTCCCGTCTCATGGATCTTAAGTCAACAATTACCATGTTGATAGAAACTAGAGTAAAGGAGAACAAAGTTAATAAGGTTAGAGATAAACTCAATTTAAAAGGTTTCTATATAGATAACTATAGTGAACACATGAATGGTAGAATTTGGATAGTGTGGGTGATAACGAGAAATCGTATCATAAAATTGCTACGTTTTTAATCCATTTTTATGCTGCATTAATCTATTTAACTCCCAATTGTTCCGAGTTTTTATGTCTTTTCACAGGTACAACATGTTTCAAATCAATTTAGTGAAAAAGATCACATGAAGAAAGCTAACATGAAAATCAGAAGAAAAGGAACTATACTGCAAAATTCTGCAAATTTTGATGTTGTAACGGTCGTCACACGTTCATTACGACCGTAACGCGCTCACAACATGAAGAACGCTCGTCACACATCATTGACGAACGTAACGCGCTATTTAAGCGCATTACGACCGTCACTTCTGCCTTACGACTGTCACACGTATAATTCAACGTTATGAAGAACAAGAGACATGGGCAACATAATGGAAGGATTCTTCAACTCTTACAATTTCTCAACCTCGCCAACGCCCAGTCCTGGTCTTTCTCCACTAAGGAAGTACAAGTCCACGTTCCTATTATTTCTTAACCGCCAATTTCTCTTCTATAAATAGGAGAGATTTCAATGAAGAGGGACAGAGTTTTTTTACATAATTTCTTGCGGAAGCCCTGCCAAATTTACGAACAATCAATTTGCATTTTTTTTGTTCTTGTTTTATTTCCCTTTTACCATTTAATAGCTATTTGCAACATTAGGAAATTGCTATTGTAGTTAGAATTTATTTTTAGCCTCAGAATTCATTTCAAGTTCCGATTCTGAAGGTTCCAATCTTGCCGACTTGTGGGAGAGGGAGCTTGAGGAATAATATTATTATTCATATTTTTAATCGCATTTAATTTTATTTTAATACAATTGTTTACGTTAAATTATATATTTATTTATCATGAATGTTTTATTGTTTCCCGATTATATTTCATGTCTGTCTGTTTCAAGTACCATGACTAGCTAATTTTCTAGAGTCGGGATGTGATAATAGTAACTAAACGGATTAAATTGTTCCTAAGCTAAAATCTAAATTAACTTAATTTCTGGCTGTGACTTTTTATAATTAAAATCAATCTTTTTGTTACGAAAGTAAGAAAAGTAGAATAGGTTAGGATCAAGACCACGAAAGTGTGAGGTTTTAACCGGATAGCTAAAGTTAGGCATTTGATTTAAATACAGCGAGAGCGCTTTAAAACGAATTAGATTTTATTAAGTTTTCAAAGAGTATTTTCTAAACACTTATGGGCTAGTGAGAGCAGGCATAGGGCTTTAGGGATATAATCCGAGATAAGACCACGAAAGTGTGAGTTGAGGGTTTTTAAACTGATAATTTCTACAAAACCATCTAAGTTAAACATCTTTATATGCTTAGGTTCGATTAGATCCACTTAGGTTCACTATATTACATACCGACCATTTTATTATTATTATTCCCGTAATTCGATTTAGTTTTCCTCTCCTTTAACCTCCAAAAAACCAAACGTGACAACATCCGTCTTAGCTAAACTAGCAAACCTTTATAGCACTAGAGTGATTACAAAGTCCCTGTGGGTTCGACATCTTTTTATTACTACCGCGATAGGCTGTGCACTTGCAGTTAAGATACCGTTAGACACATTAAGTCGATCACACCACATCAGTGGGATGACTCAATGGTGATTCTGAAACTTGTTAGTAAATATAGCCAATTTATCCACTGTGGAGTCTATGACTTATCTGATAGATTTTAGTATTGGCTAACAGCTGTTTATGCTCACAATCAGCTTGGTAAAATGAGGGTTTGTTGGAAAGATATAGAGAAGATCAATGGTAGTCAAACTGGCCCATGGTGTGTCATAGGTGACTTTAATAATGTTGCTAAAGCTCATGATAGAATAGGAGGGAAGTTGGTGAGTGAAAATGAGTATATTGACCTTCATAATATGATGGATTATACTGACCTTGCAGAGATGGACAGCTTGGGTGACTATTTCACTTAGTCCAATAAGCATAGTATAGGGACCATCTTTTCCAGAATAGAGAAAGTGCTTTGCAACACTTCCTAGTTCCTTCAAAATGCTAACCTGGCCCTGAATATTTTACCTCCAAATTTTTCAGATCATTCCCTGCTCTGTATCAGTGGCCCTATTGACAGAACAATTAAGAAAAATCAATTCAAATTCAATAACTACTTGTTGGATGTGAATGGATTTGAAGAGATGGTGTTGGAGAGATGGAATCAGTCGGCTAGAGGTAATCCTATGCAGATGTTTTGGTATAAGTTGAAAAGGCTTAAAATGGCTATTAAGAAGTTTAGAAAAATTAATGGGAGTGTGAAATAGAATTTAAAGAAAGATAGGAAGACTCTTCATGAGGCTCAGACTGACCTGGTGCATAACAGAATGGATAGTGGTAATATTGAAAAAATTAAAAAGCTGACTTAGAAGATTATCAACTTATAAGAGCTCGAAGATTCCATGTTAGTGCAGAGATCCAAACTTGAGTGGATTAGAAAAGGAGATAGCAACAACATATTTTTTATGACTACATTAAGGCTAGACAAAATGCTAAATGCATCAAATTTCTACAAAGGGACAATGGGGACATCCTTACTGATCAGAAATTTATTGCTAAAGAGGTCTTGGAGTTTTATGGTTGTCTTGTGGGCTCTAATCCTAACAGCATAAAACACATTTATGTTAAAGCTATGAGGAAAGGGGGTCAACTCACAATGGATCAATGGAATAATCTTATTAGAAGAATCACTACACATGAAATTAAAGATGCTCTAAAGGGCATTGGTGATAACAAATCTCTAGGGGATGGTGGTTTCAATGCTAAGATCTTCAAAAGGAATTGGCACATTATGAAGGATGATATTATTTCAGCTATTGAAGATTTCTTCACAAATGGTAATATGCATAGAGGCTTCAATACAACTATTGTCACCCTTATTCCTAAAGGTGATTATGCCAGAGGTATTAAAGACTTTAGGCATATAGCTGGTTGTACCATAATTCTCAAGATCATCTCCAAGATTCTCACTACATGATTGGGGAGAATCTTGCATACTGTTATCAGCAAGTGTCAGGCAGCCTTCATCCCTGGCCAAAACATTCACAATCACATTTTATTAGCCTATGAATTGCTGAAGGGCTATGATAGGAAAACTAATACTCCTAGGTATATGATTCAGTTTGATCTCCAAAAGGCCTATGATATGGTCAGTTGGATTGCTCTTGAGAAAATTATGCATGAGCTGGGTATTCCTAATAGGTTTGTTAAATAGGTTATGAGTCTGGCAACCACAGTCTCTTATTCTTTCAACATTAATGGTGAGCTAACAGATATTCTGCAACCTAAAATGGGCATTAGGCATGGGATCCAATATTCCCCCATTCTCTTTGTTCTTATGATGGAATATATGAATAGGTGCTTGATGAAAACACAGCAGAACCCAAACTATAACCACCATGCTAAATGTGAAGGTATAGCCCTAACAAACTTGACTTTTGCTGGTGACATTCTCATGTTCTGTAGGGGAAACATAACTCCTGTGGAGCTTTTAATGTCTACTTTCAAGGATTCTACTGATTCTACAGGCCTTAGAATTAATCTCAGGTATTGAGTTTGTATCTCTGTGTGTTGAATATGATCACACATGGTGTATATTTATATGCAAATAGGTAATATATGATAGGAAATAATATCAATTGCATTTATGACTAATTGAATATCAATCAATACTAATTCATTGATAATGGATTCTTAACATTCCCCATCAAGCCAGATCATATATATTGTATGATCCGAGCTTGTTACAAATATAATTCACTCGGACCTTTGAGAGACTTGGTAAACATATCAACCAATTAATCTTTAGATTTGAAAAATTATGTGGTTATTTCTCCTGACAATACCTTATCTCTTGCATAGTGACAATCTATTTCAATGTGCTTGGTCCGTTCATGGAAAACTAGATTGGACGCAACGTGGAGTGCTGCTTGATTGTCGCATATGAGTTTTGTGGTCTGAAGGTCACCGAACCTAACTGCTGAGAGCAAATTCTTAAGTCATGTAAGTTCTTTTGAGGCTGCTGCCATGGCCCAATATTCATCTTCAACACTAGATAATGCAACTGCGTTTTGTTTCTTGCTCCTCCATGAGATCACATTTCCTCCAATAAGAACACAATATCTAGAAGTGGATCTCCTATCCAATAATGATCCTTCCCAATCTGAATCTGAATAAAAAGTGATTTTATCATCTTGATCAGTGGTTTTTACACAGAAATTTAGCATTTATTTTAGTTATTGATAAGTACAAATTGTAGCTATTTTTGTATATACTTTTTGTTGCACTTATCGACTTTTTGTTGTTAATATCATTGAATAAACCCGAATTTTGAATAAATACATTTAGTTTGTGTTTAGTTGTGTTTTTGTGTACATAGGGTACCGTTTGATGTTTTTCCATTCACTTTGTAGGTATTGATGCATATTTGGAGCATGAGCAATAAAGTATCGAAGACACGACTTCAAATGCGCGATTTTGAGCAACTCGTCAATGAATAAGGCTAAAAATAAAAGAATAAGAAATTATCAATTTGGTTTATATTTTGTCATTGTTAGAAAGAGTATTGAATAAGCTTTCTAACACTTTGAACCGGGCGCGAATTGGAGTTATGGTTCAAAAGTTATGGCCAAAACACTACAAAATGTTGTGCTGATTTTTCAACTTTATGTCATCCGTCACCGGGCGACGCTTTTGGTCGCCGAGCGATGCTAGGAGAGCTGTTGTGTGGGAAAAACATTGTTTTGGTTGTCGGGCGATGCTTTTTGGTCGTCGCGCGATG